GTGTGTGTGTGTGTGTGTGTGTGTGTGTGTGTGTGCGCGCGTGTGCGCGTGCTCGCCTGTGGGAAACGATTACATCAGCCCCAGCTAGCCCTACCATTGGTTGGGGTGGTGTGGTTTTGATTCGCCACCTAGGAGCCCTGTGTGCCTGTAGTCCTTTTGTCAGTGGCTAACTCGGCACTGGCTGTGTTTGTCTGGAGCAGCCCGTACAGAGTCATATTCCTGCTGCTTAGAGGCACGCTCTCTCTCTCCCCCCTACCTCCCTCCCTCCCTCTCTCTCGCTCTCTCTCCCCCTCTCACACACTCCCTCCCTCCCTCCTTTCCCTTCTCTCTCTCTTTTTCTCCTCCTCCCTCTCTCAAGTCAGGCTCACTTTCAAAATGCCATCGTGCTCTCCTGACTGCTGCTTGCTGCAGGCCGTGGAGGTAAGGAGCCGTCTTCTGCATGCCGCTTCCTCTCTGTCTCACCGCTATTTTTAAATGCCGGCTCCGGCCAGGACAAGGGACCCTTTGAACAGGAGCGTGCCGATTTTCGTTCACAAGTCAGCTGATGCATTGTGGAAACTGTGTCCGATGCAATGAAGGCAACGAGTCCTAATTAAATTCACTTCTGCCGGGGAGGGGGGAACCTGATCTGAGACTGGGGGCTGGGGAGTTGACACTAGGCTTCCTGTTTGATGCCGTGTCTCTCGGCAGACGCGTAAATTTTTAGTTCAGCCTTCTTTCGGAGGTCCTTGCTTTCCGAGCACAGAAAACAGGCGATGGGTGAAAAGTTGCACCGGTTTTTGACTCGTACCGCTTGAGCTGTGATCATTATGAGAGCCTCGTTAAGGAGACCCGCCTCATTTCTGGGAGATAACGTCGGCTCTGCGACTTCGGAAATCCACAGCACAGTGAGAGGCATCTACCCCCTCGTTCTCCCCTCACTGCATAACGTTTGCAGACCTTTGCAGCATCCCCCCCCATCCCTGTGCCCTGCGTCGCTGAACAGCAATGTGTAATTCTATGATTTTTTTTTTTTATGTCGGGGCTCTCATTGCAGATCATAAAAATCTTCAGTGAGGACGGCACGGGTAGAGTGGTGGAGATACCCGCCGTGATGACAGCTAGAGACCTCTGCCAGCTGTTGGTCTACAAAAGCCACTGTGTTGACGACAGCAGCTGGGGACTTGTTGAGCATCACCCTCTTCTGGGGTTGGGTAAGTACTGGCACGGTGGTGCTGGCAGCCTCCCCTCTTTCCTTACCTTCCCCAAGTGAATGAAGGAATTCTTGGTTTTAAAGGCGCTGGTTTTCAACCCCCCTCCCCCCCTCCCCACCGGGTCATATTCTGCTGTAGATTTTTTCATAACCTTGGTAGTTCATGCTAAAGGCTTCTCTTCTAAGCCTGAGGCATTTGCTCAATTCATCAGGGACGTCTAGAACGTCTCTTGTCATCTTGACTCCTAGAGGAACCTTGATGATCTGCTGCGAGTCCCGGGGAGTGCAGGAGAGCGGACTCAGCCTGAAAGGGAAGCACCTGACTTAGCCTGATGAAACTGGAGACGATGAGCTCATTCCTTCCCTCTGGACAGGAAGTCACCTTGCTGGCAGCCTGATGGAGGCACAGGCAGCCTGTATGGCTTCTTCCCGGGGTCACCCTGATCCTGTGCGGCTTCTCCCCCGGAACCCCCATCAGCTTGTACGGCTTCTTCCCGGGGTCACCCTGATCCTGTGCGGCTTCTCCCCCGGAACCCCCATCAGCTTGTACGGCTTCTCTCCAGGGCCACTTTGAGTCTTCCCCCTTTTTCCTGCCACTATGTCCACTGTGCCGATCACCATGGATGCGAACTCTGTGGGGCAGCAGTTTCTCAGCAACAAGTTGTTGGAACATTCTAGAAAACCGGAGGAACTTGTTGGAGGCCCTTTATGCAGGGGATTAAAACTTAATCCTGGCAGCAGCGGGTGAAGGTGTGTGCCTCGTGGTTTTGCTCAGATTATGGGATGCCACGAGCCACCTTCCTGCTCACTCTTCCAGATGAATGCAGCAGCACAGGCCCAGGGCTTACACACTATGGTGGGAACATCCTCAGTAGGCACCTTTTTTGACAGACAACCTCCCTGCACCTTGGGAGTGTGAGAGCTCCTCAGGAATAGGAACAAGCCATGGAAGGTCACACAGAGAGTATATTTTCACAAAGTCAACAAAAAGGCCCGGAAGGGGAGAGCTGTGTCCTCTAATGATGTTTGTACTCTGAAACTTCTACATAGCACACATAATGTTTCCTGAGGTTTTCTTTGCATTTCGAGGTATGTACAGCAGCCTGCGCAGGCCATTTTTCATTAGGACATTTGATATATAGACAGCACTGTAGCTAAAATGAGATTTTCCAGCACATCCATTATCTGCTGCTGCGATTTTTTTTGTCATATGGGCCTTGGCTGGTGACGAGCCATGCATGCAAGCCCCAGGTATGCAGAATCGTCTGCTCTCAATTTCGCCCTGTCACTATAGCAACAGTTTGACTTCGCGAATGAGGTTATTTCCTCAGCTTGCAGAGTTGAGAGCAGAATGTTACCATAATGCACTAATGCTGAAGATCATTAATGACCATGCAAGCATTTTGGGACCTCACATGCCATTGAATTCGGTCCACAATTTGCATGCTGCCCAAGTGCAACGTCTCAACCTAATGATCAAGTTTCAAGAGGTGGACTAGCTGCTTAACTTCACCCAAGGCATTACAAGCAGCAAAAGCAACATCCCGCCCATTTTGAGCCAAGATTTTTCTTCCTGCTTTCTCCTGCTGATGAGAGACATCATCTCCTGCTAATTTGGGGGGGTGGTATGACCCTTTGCATCTCAGAACAATCTGTTGATTTTCAGCATCCGTTGCATCACAAACATGTAATTGGCATGTGCTTTGCCATTTTTTGTGGAATTACATATGAACTGGTCATAAAAAGAAAACATGCTTCATAATTTGTTGGCTTTTGACTAGAAAAAAAATCATCTGCAGAACTGACTAAAATATTTTAACCTGAATATTGTGGTTCTTTCCGTTGAGAGTTTCATCGTGTGACAATAGCTCCAGAAACCCTTTTAAATATTTTTTTCCCCATCTTGGTCCAGTTTGCTTCACACTATCTCATCCTCCACTGAATGCAATCACGCCAATCCCATGACATCATCCCTCTGCAGTGCCCCACCCTGGTCCCCGTAAACTTCCTGCTAATGACAGCACCGGAGCAGACATTGAGGGATGATGTGTGCTGAGCCCTTGTAAATAGCTGGGCTTTTCTGCACCCTGTGCTTTATGTGAGCTTAAGTGACCACGAGTCCATGGGAGTAGAGTTTAGTTATGTCATATGAAGGAGAAGGGCTGGACATGTCCCTCAAGACAGCCATCTGATGACTAAGTCTGGATGAGGTTCTGGACCATGTTCCTGCTCATTTTGTTCTTGTGTAAATGGTCCAGGAGGTTTCATGTTGCAGGAGGACTTTAAGTGGACCTGTGGGATGTATGAAAGCTGCAGTTGCCATTTTTGTCAAGCCTTTAATGGTGTTGGTCATCTTCTCACAGAGCGGTGTCTTGAAGACCATGAGTTGGTGGTGGAGGTTCAGGCCACCATGTCCAGCGACAGCAAGTTTCTCTTCAGGAAGAATTATGCCAAATATGAATTCTTTCGAAATCCTTTGGTGAGTCACTCCCACCCATCAGCACGTGTGTTTATGAATGTGCGCGACACAGGAAGGTTTACAGGTGTCCCATGCAGTGAAGAAGTAACACATAATTTGTCTCCTAAACTGTACAGTATCGTTGCAAACATACTCACTAATGAAGTTGTGTTAAATAATTAGGTCATTGGCTTTTGAAGGCTTTATATTACGCAGAACCCTTCGGTGGGCTGTTATTTAGCTGCTAAAGGACCTTTGAGTGATATGTGGTGTAGGTGGTTGAGGTTTTGGAATGTGCCGGGAATACAGTATTTTTTTTTTCATTTACACTAATAGAAAATAGGCTCCTACTATTTGAAAATTCCCTATCCAACACATTTTTCGGAACAGATTAGATGAAGGATTTATGAATTTACACTTTTCTTCACACATCTTGCATTTTGTCTGCAGATTGGATTGACTTGAAGGATTTATAGCCTGCAAACAATAAATTGTGATTGTTCTGTATGATTTATGTGAAGTGACTTGTCTGAGTAATTTGGAAAATTTGTAGTGTCAAGCGATATTTATAATCCCACTAAAATTAGATTCCAAATGCCTGTGTGAGGCTATCTGCTCGATGGTTTCAGGGAGAGCTGCTCATGTGAACCATCTTTGGTCCTTTATACCTACCTAAAATATGTAGGGCTTAAAAGTGTTTCCTGTTTCTTGAATGTGGCTTTTTTACATGTATTAAATTCTTACCAATGAAGAGCGATGCTTTGGAGGCAGGAATGAAAAACATCACAATGGCCCTGGTTTCCCCCATAAGGATGCCTTTGGCTGTGATGTCATGACTCATGGTGTGACTGGGGTTCTTGAGAGGGTCTGGCACAGATCTGAATTGCGCAGAATGACCCAAGCTTGGTGAACCTTTGCAAGGGCTTCCTCCCTGTGGGACCAGACTCTAGTAAAAAGCATTTGAAGACCAGTAACTGTTGCTGTGCCACTCAAAACATCAATGGACTTAACATCCATATGGATAGCGGCAGATCTGCCAAGCAAAACGCCCCTCGTTGCTTGGAAAATATTCCTGCATCGCAGCTCACAGACGGACACTCCTTATAGTGTTAAGTGTGCCTTCCAGTGGAATTACTGGACCCAGGTTATACAGGAAACACGCTCCACATCCCATTATGGATCGGTCAAAGCTTTCAGTAACATAAAACTTCTCTGTCCGTTTCCACTCAAGCAGATACTGTTTCACTGTCCGCTGCTCCGGACGTCACTGGTGCTCCTTTCAGTGCTGGGACTTCAGACAGCCAGGGGTAGAATTGTGGTTTGGTGGCCAGTCTTTTGTGGCTCATTCACTGACTCCGTTGATGCAGGAGGCCATGAGCCACGTTGCAGGTCTCAGACAGTGGCTCTAGCATTACTTTTTCAATTAGGTCTTAAATTGCAGCTTTGAACTGCCTGCAGTTTCAATAACATTCTCCTTTCCTTCAGTCCATTGAGATGATATTAGCTTCCAAAAACTTCTACACAGTGCATGTCAAGCTAACGATAGTATGGAACCAGTTGTACCATTGATGGAAGCCTACTGCTTGCTTTGAAGGTCACACACTCTTACCATATGCTTTTGTCACTTTTCACGATGGTGTAAGTTAATAACTGCCTCATACAGTTTCACATTCTTATTTTAGCTTCAGTCCCATACAGCTATGGCAGGTGGACTTTACATTTCGATGGCCACTGTAGATGCAATAGAATTTTGTTCCTATGTAAAATCTTACCTTGTGACCTCAGTGACTGTAGTGATTAATTTCACTGTATTGTCTACTGCAGTCTTCTTCAGTTGTTAAATATGATCATATGGAGACAAAACATATGACAGGTTGACCTGTATTATGTACCTGGGATTATGGGAAAAGCAAATGTTTTTCCTCTGTGACTCGACCAGCAGACCACAAAGGAACCCAGTGGATCTCAGCACGGTAAACACTCTGTTACTCGTGACATCCTGCTCAGTTTTGTTTTAGGGAAGCCACTCGCATTGGCCCTGCCCTGCCTTATGGACAAACGCGCCCATTCATTGTCAATCACATCAAGTGCTAAATTAGCATTAAATTGTATTTCTTTGCACATTTTGCCCCAAAAGTATGAATTTCTCCAAAGGGTAACACTGTAATCATGGATGATGGGGTAGGAAAATTAGAATTAATTATGCCCAAAAAGCCAGCTGCTGGTCACACCCTTTTCCTGCATTTTTCTTTTATAGAATTTCTTCCCCGAGCACATGGTAGCATGGTGTCAAGAGACCAATAGCACCATACCGCAGTCACAACTTTTGCAGGTGAGACAGCAGAGAACTATAAGGCCGAAAGTCAAATCTGGTCTACTTAATCACCTGATTACAAGTGCCCACCCAGAAAGTTGTGAATGTTGAATTCCAAAGGCATCAGAATCACTCAGATGCTAACTCTCTGACTGGCTTTCAGAATTTCTTGAATCCCGGCAGCTACCTTGAAATTCAGGGGTTCTTGTACCTGAAGGAAACTGCAAGGAAATCATGGAAGAAACTCTACATGTTTCTAAGGCGGTCAGGACTGTACTACTCAACGAAAGGGATGTCCAAGGTAAGAGCAGCACCCACACATATTACTCCTGTTCCCGGTGTGAAGGCTCCCCTTTCATGCCCTGACTGATGTTTCCTCCAAATTTGATTTTTGCCCCTTGAGTTTTTGGTCATTTTTCTGTTCAGATTCGACAGCTTAGAAATGGCACAAATGTAGCATATATGTGCCATACACATGTGTTAAACAGTTTGCGCCCATTCAAGTTGATCCAAACAGCATCTCATCCAAACAGGACATTCACACTGATCACATTACTCATTCATCTGCATGGCACCACAACCTAGTACTGCCCATCTGGCTATATACAATTTATGATTTGATTTGTAAACACAAAGTTATAAGGTCATTTGTGCGGATCAGATCTGCAGCTGTTTATAAGTTCATAAATGCACCAACAACTCTTAGAACAGCAATCCCTTATTCTATAACTGCAATTCATGTGACCACTTCAAATAAAATCTTAACCTTTCGATGTGTCAAAGGAGCCACGACATCTGCAGTTGTTGGCTGACCTTGAGGACAGCAACATATTCACAGTAATCACAGGGAAGAGGCTGCACAATGCTCCAACAGACTATGACTTCTGCATCAAGGTAGGAGACCACGGGATTTTGTCTAGCAGGGCAGAATTAAGGCAGGATTTTCTTAATTGCATTTAATTTTTGATGTTCTGCAGCAGTCCCCTTTCATTTACAAATGTAATAACTGGAGTTAACTGCCCCCTGTCCTTTCTTAGCAAAAATGGGAAGGGTGAGAGATGCCTGTGACAACCAATGCCTTATCCTTATATTTACCGTTCTTACGTACCTGGTCTAAAGGGATGCTCAACTTGCAGTATCCGCTTGTGTTTAGGTTCTTGACATGACTAACGAGCACTCTGCTTGGACCTATGCTCTGCAATACTTGTCTGCCTGTAGTTCTACCTGACTGATTGGTTGACTGGTTCACAGCCTAACAAGGTGAGGAGTGAGACTAAAGAGCTAAGGATGCTCTGTGCAGAGGATGAGCAGAGCCGGACCTGCTGGATGACTGCCTTCCGTCTTTTCAAGGTAATGAAGGGGTTTATTTTGGTGAGAAGGGATGGTAAGTCGAGGAAGAGGAAAGGTAAGTAAAGGATAAGGGAGAGCAAATCATGGAAGAGGGAGGGCATGCCAAGGGAAGGGAAGGGGAGGGCAAGTCAAGGGATGGGGAGGAGAGGGCAGGTCAAGGGACGGTAAGGGGAGGGGAGGGCAAGACAGTGGAAGGGAAGGGGAAGGCAGGTTAGTGGAGGGGAAGTCATTGGAAGGGGAAGGCAAGTCAATGAAGAGGGAGGGCAAGTTAAGGGAAGGAAAGGACAAGAGAAGGGGGACAAGTCAAGGGAAGGGGGGGACAGGTTAGGGGTGGGGAAGGGGAGGGCAAGTTAAGGAGAACAAGTCAATGAAGAAGGAGGGGAGAGCAAATCAAGGGAAGGGAAGTGGAGGGGTGGACAAGTTGGGAAGGGGAAGGGAGGGAAAGGTGAGGGAAGGTTGAGGGAAGGGGAGGGCAGGGCAAGTCAATGAAGAGGGAGGGCAAGTCATGGGAAGAGGACGGCAAATCAACGGAAGGGAAGGAGAGGGAAAAACAAGGGAAGGTAAGGGGTGGAAAAGTCAGGGGAAGGGAATATCAGGGCAAGTCAAGGGAAGGGGAGGGCAACTCAGGCATGAGGGAGGGCAAGTCAGGAAAGGGGAGGGTAAGTCTAGTCATCCTCTAAGGCAGGGGTCTCCAACTCCAGTCCTGGAGAGCTACCATCCAGTAGGTTTTCTAACATACCCGGCTTCTGATGAGCCACACCTGTTCTCAGGTAAATACTAGGAACAGGTGTGGTTCATCAGAAGCCAAGTGGGACAGAATACCTACTGGACAGTAGCTCTCCGGGACTGGAGTTGGAGACCCCTGCTCTAAGGCCTAAAGCATAATTGAGATACCAAATACGCCAATGAACTGAAGCCTGCTGTCTGTTCATTGCCCATTTCACCTTCATCATCATCATCATCTTTTTTGTTTTTATTTGCACAGTATCCTTTAATTCCATCAGTAATTTTTGTTTGTAAGTTAGCTTCAAGTTTTTGGGTGCAAAGGACAAATTAGCACATATTTTAGCATTTATGGATAACCAGCTGCATTTAATCTTCAGCCGCATGACAGATCTACTGTTCCAAAAAGCCTTCCAGGAAACATAGAGTCTCCATTCACGCAAATGTGTGTTTATCCATCCTGCTTATGCAACATCATTGCAATCAGCATTGATCTGAATGAGAACCTTTGTTTGACCCATGCCCCAGCTTGACCAACTCTTGCTGACACCAGATAAAATTGTCAAATTATTGACTTATTTAGTCATCATTTACCATCTGCTGATTTTTGCCTTGACAGCATGGAATTTCATTGTATCAGAACTACAAGCTACCCCAACAAAAGAAAATGTCGGCTGCCCGCTTTTCCTCACCAGTGGTAAGAAAGTATCTAAGTTCATGTTAAGTTTTGTGGACTTGAAACCAAACACTCTGGTCCAGTGGTATCACTCTGGCACGTGATAAAGTACCATGTACATCTTCTGTTTGTCCCATCCAGAGGAGTGTGTCAGAGAACTCGCTGGTAGCTATGGATTTCTCAGGGAGGACTGGCCGGGTGATTGATAACCCCGTGGAGGCTCAGAGTGCTGCAATGGAGGAGGGTTACACTTGGCGGGTAAGTACCGGGAATCCCCCTCAAAGAAAAAACTTCCTTTACTTATAGTTTAGCTGTTTAATATTCAGTTTACCTTTGTTCTGTCATTTTAACTAGCCTTTAAGTTAGTAGTAGTAGAAGTGGTATTGGTAAAATGCTGAGTTCTGAGTTCTTGTTTGTTAACACTTGTTTTTCACTTCCAGTAAACGCTGCTTTGCTGAATGTTCCTGTTGTTTGAATTCTTCCCAGAAACGAAGTCAGCGAATGAACATCCTCGGCAGCCCAAGTCCCCTCCATCCATCTTCCTTAAGCTCCAGTGTGTGTTTTCTCATAATGGGTGACCTCAGTGTGCCACATTTGAGTCCTTGACGTGGGCTGACCTCCATTTCTTCTGTCTCCCTTCAGTAGTTCACAGGACCCAGTTGTGGTTCCATGGACGGATCATGAGAGAGGAATCCCACAAAATGATTATTCAGCAAGGTCAAGTAGACGGGTAAGACAACATCACGACCGCTGCTTGACTCAGGGGAATCTAATATACCTCCACTTTTTTTTTTCTAAAATGCTTTTCTGTCATTCTTTGCTTCAGATTATTCCTTCTGCGCGACAGCCAGAGCAACCCAAAGGCGTTTGTGTTGACACTGTGCCATAACCAGAAGATCAAGCATTTCCAGATCTTACCCGTGAGTGTCCTCCTCACAGGGCCCTTGGGACCTTCCCCTTCTGAACTACTATGTTATTAAGAAAGTGTTTTCCAACATGTAAATATGCAATAATATTCTGCACTGTAGATTATTGTACTTCCTGTTTCCTAAAAAGCAGTGTTTAATATAGCCTGATTCCCTAATCGATTGTGGATTTATCTAACACTTTACTTCCAGTTTAGTTTTATTTCTTAATTTTATTTTATGTATTCTTAATTCTTATGCCTCTGTACCTCTGCAGTTTGAAGAGGATGGACAGACATTCTTCAGCCTTGATGATGGCGCCACAAAGTTCAGCGATTTAATACATTTGGTGGAATTCTACCAGCTTAACAGAGGAGTCCTGCCCTGTAAACTCAAACACCCCTGCACAGTCGTGACCTTATGACCTATTACTTGATTTTTTTTTTTTTTTTTGACTGAACTTCAGTTAAAAAATTGAGCGAACGTTTAAACTTTTCCATCCAACACCCGACCCTCTCGCGATAAGCTGCCTGGCGCCCCCTGCTGGAGAACATGCTGGAATCACTCGGAATGCTGTGATTAAGAGAAGAGTGGAGAACAGTCGGAAGCATTTGAGATGAAACTTTCATAAACTGTCCACTTCCTGGTTTTAGCAAGCAGTCGGCCCAGATTTTCAGTCAACTTTAACACACATTTTAAATCTTTTCATATAAAAGATAAATCTAAAGTTTTTTTTTTCTTCTACAATCCTTTGAAAACTTTTTTTTAGGCTGAGCCACTTTAATAGACAAACACACAATAGCTATGAAAGTCGAATGAGAGAAATTTCTGGCTGCAATATCGACAACTTCACGTGTAAAGCTGATTGTTTACTTTATTGACTTTTTATATACCTGCTTGTTTGTTCGTCTATTGTTATTGTCGTTGCGTTTTTTTTTTTTTTCCCTTTTTCTTTTTGCACTCTCGCTGCGACCCAGGCCGAGCATGGTGGTACTCTCCGTCCTCTGCCCATTCACTCCTCCCATCAGAGACGGGTGTGAGAAGACACTGCTTCATCTTCTTCACAGGGAGCCGCTGAAGTCACATCCCCTGCAGAGCCCTCCCAGACAGAGTCCAAATGGGGGAGACTTTATAGACAATGAAAAATCATATTTACCCTGCCGACCGGGCACAGGACACCGATTATTCCGTTTAACAACACTTTGGAGCTTTTTCAACTCCATGCGTGAAGGTCAATCATTTTGCCTGTGTTTTTGATCCATATTGCCACATATCTTTATCTCCAGCCCGTTCCTGAGGTCTGGCTTTGTCCTTTGATAGCGCCACCTTACGGGCCGGCCTCCCTCCATGTGACCACCCCCTAGCTTGGCGTCCGTGCTCCAAGATCCAAAGCGGAAGTGTAGCAGTTTATACTGTGCTCTTCCTGCTAGTAAACAGGCACCTTCTCGTTCACTCCAACATTGAGAACGTTGGCTGCTTTCCACTGGGTTCAGGTAAAAGTGAAGAAGAACCTTCCATCTTTAGTTTGAGATTTGAGAATACAGTCGATCATAACCACTATACTCCCAGACCTCTGTGGCTCTGTCCCGTGTCTATGGAGAAACTGAAAACCAATATGATTTTTTCACACACCCTAACAAACTTTTTTGAATCTGCATGGAGTTTAGTTGAAGCCAGCTTGTTTCCTGGCATGATCTTAAAGGGGTGTGTTTAGAAAAGAAAAATAAACCAGATCCCCATGTTGATCCCAGTGCAATCCGAAAGGAAAGGGTGTCCTCCTTCGAGACGTGTCAGGTTTGTCAGAACGTGAGAACGACGAGCCATATTCTTAGCATTTGCAATATGCTTGATCAGACGTGAGGAAGATGGCAGAACCTCACCATGACTCTTATTATTGGGATGCAAACTTATAAAAACCTAGGAGAGCCATCTCACGTATGATATCCATTGGGAATGAGATCATTACTTGAAGGTCTTTCTTGCTGACTTGGAATTGCAATTTTATGCTTACTAGTAATTCCAAGGCTGGCCTCTGGGCCACGCCGTGCATTTTGAGGACACACATGGAGAACTTGACACCGTAAAGTTCCCACTCTCCAGCCCCCTCCCCCATGTCCCACTCACCTCACGAAGTCGGTGAGTAGTAGCTACTGGGTTTTCTGCCTCCTTTTTCATATTTCATTATTGAATGGAAACGCCCCCAAAACCGAGCATTCAGCACTCCTTGCTCCCAGATTCTTCCTGGATGTTGCCTTCAGACTGTCAAGCAATATTTAGATTTTGTTTATATTCGTTATTTTATATCGGTGTAACCCTTGAATCACTTTTCTTTAAAATTCCTGTTTTTTGCATATAAACAGAATAAGCTATTCTCTCCGAAGGAATCATTGCTAAGCTTTCTAAACATGGGCCTAACGATGACATTAGCAGAGTATCACTGTACTAATTGCAACCCATTCGTTAAGACATTTTCCTTAATTGCTGTCTTGATCTCAACATTATTCTAATCATTCTCGACGTACTGTAGTACCAAGCTGTGTTCTTAAAAGACGTGATGGCGGATTGACGACTGTTACTTTGCACTTTTTCCCCGATGGATCTTACGCGTCTGTTCTCCGCGTTAGCAGGGTAGCGCGCAGATGCCGCTCCCATTTTGCCAAAGTACACTGCTAAGGTGTGTCCTTGCACACTGACAAGCACTCTGCACCTTGCCAGCCCGTCAGCGGACGACAGCTGGTCGTTCTTGTGCAATTATTTACCCGACGAAAACACCTACAGTAGAAGGACGTCGGCCGGGGATCAGTGCAGGCAGGAGAAGCCTCACGATCCGAATCGCCCTTGGCGTGTGTCAGAGAGACTTTATGGTGATGTGTAAGAATACGCAGTCCTTAACCTTAAGACTTGAATCTCCCATCGTCGTGAGTTGAAAGTGTCACCAGCCTTCCATCTTGTTTCCACACCAATGTTCCCCATCCCAGGCTGGCCTAAGGTGTCCTCTTAAATTTGTGACGAGGGGCTAACGTCAGTGCCTAGAAAAAAAAAAACGTTTGTACACTTTAGCTGGGAAGCCTTTTCTCACCTCGGCTACTGGACCTGTTCTGTTGAAGCTCGTGCTGCGTTTTTCCAGAATGTTCCCCACCCGTCGCAAGCCACTGCGCGGGCTCCGTAACACTAAACACCTGAGTAACGTTTTCCCGCTACTTTCGACAGATTTAATGCTTGTAGATATTTGAGAGAGGTGTCGCTACATCGAAATACAGTGGTTTGATGTTGTCATTCTCCAAAGAACAGCTGTATGTATCATAGTGTTTTTTATTTTTGCTTTTTTCCCCCTTGAATTATGCTGAGCGCTTTTTTGGGACGCTGTCACTCCTGGTTTGGTGTGCGATTGTATTTGCCCCCCTACCCGTAGCTTGTCCTCGGTGTCCCTCGGTGTTCTTCCGCTTTATCTGCTTCTGGTCAGCTTTGCTGTGCTTTTAACGCGACCTTCGTAGAGCTTGTACTCATATTAATATATTGTATAAGTGCATAAATCTATGGAAGAAAATTAGATGCAACACTGTATTTTAGGTTACAGATCACTATTTGCTGCAGTTCTGTTTTTAATCATAACTGCATTCAAATGAAGACCTTTCTAGTGCTTTTTAAAATATTTACTGTGCATATTTAGTTTGTTTACCTTTTGTAAGAATATCTGAGACGTTTAAGCTGAATTTTAAAACTGGACTCAGCGCATGCTATCAAGTTGCTCATGAAAAAAGAAATTAAGCTAAAACGGTTGATGAACTCACTGGTGAAAACGATTTTTTTTCTTTTTGTCAAAATGCGATCTTGCTGTATTGAAAATAAAATAGTGGGTATCATTTCAAAATACAAGGGACTCGAACCCGGTGTCACATTGAGGTGCATCTTGGGACTGACACAATGCGGCGAGTTCATAGCTATTTGTGGCGTAAAGTTATGCATAGTTATCAGGTAGCTTCACATCGGGAGTGCAGGACGCGGACTTGTGTCCTACAAAATGATCATGAATGTAAAAGGGCTGCTCAGGGTTGGGATGGTGCCTGTTGAGAACTAGCCTTCAAATCGGCAAGATCGTCCCAAAGTCTTCTTAAGTCACGTCTGTGAAGAAACACCAGGCAGTTAAGTTCATTGTTTTATATACAGTTATCGGTGTGTGCTGCATTACGGCAGTAATGTGGTGCCCTTAGCACAACGCGTGCCTCCTGTCACATCTCTCTCTGCACTAATGTACACCTGGCAGACTGACCAATCAGTGAATCTCTTTCCTAGCTCATATTTTAAATATATTATCACAATGCAAGTTATAGTGACTGTCAGAAAGAAAAGAAAACACATCCATGTATGTATTTCAGGGAGTGAAAAGCAGTAAAGTTGTTTGTATCGCTTTATAAGAGATATGACTCATCTATTCACAGTGGGCTTTGCTTCATTCTGTAAACGGCTGAATGGCAGATAAATCTCAATTGTAGCGTTTTCAGGTATTTTTGTACGGATAAGGGACTGATATATTCTGTTTATTGTAAGTAGAATAAAACATTAATTCATTGCTATGAGTCTAAAGCTGTTTTGGTAATATCTTGCTTGACTGTGTGGCTTAAGTCCAAAGCTTACATGTTATGAATCCCACTCCAGGCTCTTCAAGCCCGGAGGTTTGTGTGTTGAGTTGGTGTGGGTTTCCTCCCACAGATCAATGATGTGCAGCCTCCACACAGGTGTAGCGGAGACACCCACAGTGTGTGTCTGTGTCAGTGTCCTACATTAGACCAGCGATCCTTCCAGAACACATGCGGTGGGATTATGGTGCGCTGTCAGTAGTTGACAGGCAGGGATTATCCGTGCAAGGTATTTCCACCCATGGTGGGATTTGAAGCATCATTTTTCCATCTCAAGATTATGGGCCTGAGCACTGCTGTACACGGCTGTTTGTTGACGTGTTTGCGTCGAGCTTGGATGGTTTAAACCCTCAACTGACATTTTTACTGGTCCCACCGTGGATGGAGGCCACAGTTTGACCTGAACGCAAACACCAGCTGGTTTACAAAGAGCCAAGCTGTCCATAAGTATGAGGAAATACACTCTTTGAAAGAGCCTTTGTCAATAAATATTAAACACTGATTCATAGCTTTCATATAGTTTGCTAGATACAGTTAGACAAATATCACCACAGTTACCACTGTTGTTTTACATTGTGTTTAACTGTATTTCAAGCAAAGACAATAACAAGAATATAATATAAACTGATACATAATTTCATATAGCTTTTATTGATTATGTATTGATAATCACGCTGACATTGAATAATGTTATCAATAAAGTAAAGCACTCTAAAACCATACTTTTATTTCATAGCCTAATTTAGAACATCGCATATCATAATTCCTAGTGTTGACTACCTTGCATGATGGGATGAAGGTTATAGTGGATTCTGGGCTTCATCACTTGATTAATGAGTTAAAGAGCAATAGCTATGAAACCACTGACATCAGCCTTGGCCTGTGGTCCAGATGCAGGAACTTGTGTCCGGTATTGCAAATGTATGAGTAACGTGCTTTGAAAGATTGCAATACCATCTGATCCTTGAGTTGCAAAGACAAGATCACATTTTCTTGCAGGTACACAGCCTTGGCATTTCTGACCATGTATATGTGATCGTAATAATTAGAAATCAACTGGAATTGCTACCTAATCATAATGTCTCAGCACTCATCTGAATGGTGGGAAATGACCCAGAATTTAACCCCCTGTCACTTATCCATCCCCATGATGTCCTACCAGCAATTGGGAGGGAGCAAGAAGGTGGACTTTCTGCGGTCCTCAAGAGCAGGTTTGTGAAACACTGATTTAGATGAAGGGTGAATACAAAAATCCGAACTCTAGCCTACTGGCTGCACGTTTTTACTGAACTAGCCCTGTTGACTTATAGCAAAATGTCTTAAGTTCCTCCTCTGCTCATACCATTCTCACACTGGAGCATCAGAATTACACAGTTGAATTTTACTAAATCAAAGAAATAACAATGAGTTATGACTTCGAAGCACCTGTTTTATAAGACATTATTATTTTATTATTATTATTAAGTGTCCAAAGAACATTATTGTATTTGTTATTATTATTTTCCTTCCTTAAAACTGAATGGGCAGCCTAAACCGTAAGAGCTAGACTGAGCAGACTTGGTAGGAAGATGTCCATTCCTACCCACTACTCAGACCATCCCAGTCAGTCAGTCAGTACATTTCGGCTGATATCTCCTGACCTGTTAGTCCTATAGTCGAAATTCTTTTTTCTACAGATACAAGCAGCCATTTCCTACAACTTTCAGAGTGAAACTATTTATTATTATTATTAGAGTAGTAGTAGTAGTAGTAGTAGTAGTAGTAGTAGTAGTAGTAGTAGTAGTAGTAATAGAAATAGTATAATTATTTTTATTACTATTATGTTAATATTATTTCATTATATTAAATGATACATATTCAGTGGGTTCTTAGACAAAAATTAGCAATATTAAACAATAAACAATCTATTTCTTCACTCTGTGTGCTTGTTTAAGATGTGAGTCTGCAGGACGGAGTAGTGGACATATCAGGGGGGGGGGGGGTGTGTTTGTGCTTGTTTACACTTGCTGCCATACTTGCAAAAAGCGCAAAATGAAGTATGTGGGGGTTTCCACCCACTTCGCCACACTCTATTCCTGTCGACAAGCCCAGAACATTTTTTCGACACACCCACTAACCTTTCAGTACACCCAGTTCTCCAGCCTGCAGAATCCTAGGTCTGTATCCATATTCAGGGACTGCATTTAAAGACCAAATGCGTCACAGTGGTGTAACAAGGCTTCCCCTTTACGAAGGCTTCTTCAAATGCGGCCCAGAAATGCATCCTCCTATTGTCAAGTCGTGAAGGATCTGCTCGATGGATCCTTGGCAGCACGACACATCCCAAAATTAATTGCACAGAGGCAAAGGGGGCGTGTCCTGACTAGGCAATAGGAGCAACAGTTTGTGATTCAAGGGTAAGGTTCGGAAACAGCTGGTGATGGCCAGACCGTCCCATTTGACAATGCTTTCCATACAACCTTGAAAGCCCCTGTATTCAGACACAGCTCTATAGTTGCCCATCCCCGTCAACTATTACCACCATTGCTAAAATAGACCAAGGATGTTTCTTAATACCATGAACGCAAAGACCGTACTTATGGTCTTGGCAAGACCGGTCCTGCTAACCTGCCTCCCACAAACAAACTTGGGGTGCAATGAATCATGGGATTGGTCTTGTTTGGCGAGGATGCAACCAATGTATCTTTGATATTTGGGACAGGTCAAGAACAACATCCGGGGATTTTTCCCATCCTCCGTGCTTCTCTTCTTAGCACTGGAAATGGTCTTCAGCAATGGAAGATGACATAAAACGTGAATACAAGTATGCAAACTACGAAACACCCCAGGTCTCTGCAGGCTGGAGAACTGAGCGTGTCGACAGGAAAAGAGTGTGGTAATGGGTGAAACCATGCACATACTTTCCATTGCGCTTTCTGGAAGTATGGCAACAAATTAAACAAGCATAAGACATAACTTGCACTATATGAACAAATATGAAACTGACATTTCATTATCGATATCTGTCAATCGTAATTATTGTCAGACCTAAATGACTGGTGAATATCTGGTCTCTTTCTGAAATAATAATAATGACACTTTATTGATTCCTGTGGAGAAGTTCTCTTTTTGACAGCCCCATCTTGCTGTCCATGACATATTGGTGAGTGCAAGCCTGGCTATGAAGGGCGGCCACCTGCAGTGGCACCCATGGAGCTGGGAGTTAAGGGCCTTACTTAAAGGCCCACAGACCTGACAATATTCCTGAAGCTGGACTTGAACTAATGACCTTCTAATCATAGGCACAATGGCTTAACCTGTCGATTCACACGCTGCCCCCACAACATTAAACGACATTCATTGACAACATTTTTAGCCAATAGAAACAATGTTTTTGCACATCACATGCTGCCTTCGATATGCCCACTATCCCCACCTGCAGAGACTCGTGTCTTGGAGTGGGGACACCAACAGTGATGCTCGCCTAGCCCTGACTAATTTTGTTTTTAAGAAATTTTAAAGGAAGATTTTTATGAAGCATCCCTGCCCCTTTTCTTGCTAAGAGCAATCTGCCCATGTCACTCCTTTTAGGCCTGGCACAGGTGGCATATTCCATCTAATTGCATGAGTTGGCATACTAATCTAATTAGGTTGCAGGAGCTGCAATCTGTCAACGCGTCAGTTTCAAGAAACAGTCAAAAGCAAACTGAATTTTAAAAGATAGTCTCAGTATTCCTATATAGACAGTTGTTTTATATCGACTTGGATTTAAGAATAAGTATCAGGCTAGAAATGGATACTTTGTAATATACATGGACAATCATATTCTAGCTAAATGTTACAGGGTGAAAACCAATGCTTTATCTGCAATCATTACAAAGCTTGATGCAATTTATTGTTTGTATTTATTGTTTATTTATTGTTTGTATAGTGTCTCTTATTGTCTGTGTATGAGAGAGTCCTTGTGTGCCCCAGCACACTTGGCGAATAAAAGCTGATTCTGATTCTAATTCTGATGTAGCATTCTAGTAAAAGTACACTTTCATCCATACCATGATCCGATTAAATACATTTGTTTTGTTTTTGTAAATGGAAAATGCTAGTCTAGTAATAAACAGTAAACTTGTGAAAAACGAGATGTTAATATTCACTTTGATTTTTTTTTTATTATTAAACAGTGTTTTTGAAGCAGCATATCCTACTTACAGTTCTGAATTCCAAATGCCAATGTGTACCAGTTCTGGGGGCTGTCACTACAGAGTCTGAGTTAACTGTGGGTGTGAGTTGCACATGTGCCGTCATTGAAAGCCAAATACAAAAGCAAGTAAAAACTAATTAAAAATTATTTAAAAATAACAAAAACTGAAAACTAACTAAAAGCAAGCCAAGTACAAAAAACGTATATGTGCAGTTCCTGTGAGTGGCCTTGCCAGTGTCAATATAGAATTAAAGGTAATTTGCCATTTTATGAAAATGTATGCCAATACATGATATGGGTCTGAACTTTGTATAATTGGTAAGGGTGCAGTTTTGGCAAATGGTCTGACGTCTTTTATTACTTGAATAGTTTAATACTTTAATATTAACACGGCTGACTCAGATCGGCAACGCATATGCGACTCTAATCCACGGTTAACTAAAATCCTGTAGTGACAGGGCCATCTGTACAGAATATGGGGCTTGCACACGGATCTAGATGCTGAGTGATTTCTATGCCTTACTCTGTTATATATTACTAACGGGCCATGACGAAGGAAACGCACCTGCGCACTGAGTATCCGGACGTCGTATCTGCACCGAACGTCACTTCCGTCTTTCTTTTGGTCTCCGGACTGCCATCATGGTGAGCGTGTGGGGGCCTTCGCCGGGTTAAAACATTTATTTTTGGGGCCGTCCAGTCGGGTGCGGTGTCTTGGTAAATGGCGATCGCGCAACATAACAGCCTTGGGAGCTTTAGGCTACTGGTTTTCCCCTGTGCTTATCGCATATATCTGTGTATTTTATTGCCCGTCGCCGTGGCGATCTGGGCATCGTGTTGCTTAAAAACGCGACATTAGGTCGGGCGGGTTCCCTGCTGCAGGCCTCGTTGTCTCATTTACGTCTTTTAGTCGTAATTTTATTTTACCTCATTTATATGTATATATGTATATTTATTGGGCTTTCAGTAACTGGATGAAATATCAATTTCGAGTTAGCTAGTCCATCAGTTCGTTTGAAACGTGATTGTTGCAGTGATGTGCTGTTGGATGCGGCTTCATAAACTTGCCTGGATCCCTCAAGCGTATTACGCCTATAAATTTATTAAATGTTACTCATAAAATTTGTCTTGGTTGCTGAACTGTAAACAATCACTGGTAATGATTTCTAAACACGATAAGTTATTAAGCTTGGTATCCGCACGTATACGTGACGGATATCTGCCCGTATCCAGCGGCAAGAACGTTTTCCCATTTAAGTTCTGCTTGGTCTATTAGATTTGTCATGAGTGATATTTATGTGCATCGCGACACTGAACTTAACAATAGTACGACTGCAGAGCGGGCATACCTTACGACCGCTGTCTGCATAGTCGCCGGCAGTCCAAGACGCCATGACGTCACCTAAAAATATTGATGGTTATATTTCAGGGGAGTTTCTCGCGGATTCGCTGTGCACTTTGCGCTGATTTGGTGATGAGTGTATTTGTTTGTATTTACATTCCGTGATAGTCATTAACATGAATGGTATTCTGTCTGTGGACAGCGAAGTGAGAGATTACTAAATGGTGTAATAACTAATGTCTGAATTTAGGGCATATTGTTTTGTGATTGTCTGTACCTGACACTGTCTATTTTGCAGGTTTTCAAGCGCTACGTCCAGATTGGCCGGGTGGCCTACGTGGCTTTTGGACCCTACGCAGGCAAGCTGGTGGCCATCATAGATGTCATTGACCAGAACAGGGTATGTGCGAGACGCTGCTGCTCTGTATGCCAACGGCTTGCGTGTTGGGCTGTCCCACCACGGGGAGTGGAGGGGTGGTGTTGGTGTCCGTCGGTTGATGCGGCTTTCTTGTCTCCTAGGCTTTAGTGGATGGTCCGTGCACCGGCGTGAAGAGACAGTCCATGCCCTTCAAGTGCATGCAGCTCACAGACTTCATCATCAAAGTGCCCCACAGGTCAGTTGTCCAGCATGAACATTGTGATGGTGAAATAGTGTAGGCATGATAGGACGCCATCTCCATCAACGGCCATGAATGTGGTAGTAACTCTAGAATCAATCTTGTGTGCAAAAACCTCTATAACCGGTCCCCGCTGTGTTAACAGTGCCCGTCAGAAGTTTGTCCGTCGCGCGTGGGAGAAGGCCCAGGTCAACGAGAAATGGACTCAGAGCAACTGGGCCAAGAAGATCGAAGCCAGGCAGAAGGTACGATCTGCAGGCGCTAAGGGAAACCCAACGTACTGACAGTCATGTTTCTGTGATGCTGACTTGCTGGTGATGATCTTTTGCAGAGGGCCAAAATGTCAGACTTCGACCGCTATAAAGTGATGAAAGCCAAACGTATGGTACGTTCAGTCTCCTCCACAGTTTCGTACAAATGCCATCCCTCTCCTGTTGGTGATTAGTTGAGACCCAGAATGTAAAAATCTGCCCAGCTGAGTATAGAGTCATACTCAAGTGCTTGGTTGATTCAAAATCATGGCTTGGATTTTTACTTTCTGCACCTGAACTATGCACCTCTGCTCTATCCTTCCCCTTATTTTTTCCAGTATTTATTTTTAGTATTTTTAAGCTGTATAAGAGATTGCTATCAAACGCCATGGTAATCAGAAATGATTCATGCATATAGGTCATTCCCACAAACTTGCAAAATTTTCTAAATAGTTACAATGAAAGAGTTTGTTTTTGTGTAGAGCAGTTGACATCAACTTCTTATATAAATGTTTTTCAATTTTCAACTTGCATATAACCCACAGGCAATCGATTTGTATAAGATATATTTGCTCATTTTTTTGTAATTTCTGTAAACCTTTCCCTGGATTTGATTACATACTTATGTTACAGAAATAGATGGTGAAACTGATTAAAAACCATAGAGGCAAATTTCAGTTGTATAATTTGAGTCTGCCTCAAAAATTCTAGAAAGCTGATATGGTACAGTAATGAGTTTGTGAGAATGATCCACATGGTTACGGTGTTTAACTCAGTAGTGCTGGTTCTGCTGGGTCGTGTCCCAGTAACTGGCTCCCAGGGTACTGGAGATGTGCCTCCTGTCCTGGCATTTAAGATGAGCCCTGTGGCTTATCCTGAACTCTCTCTTCTGCAGAGGAACAAGATCATCAAGCATGAGCTTAAGAAGCTCCAGAAAACGGCTTCTGGATCAAAGGCAAAGAAAGCATAAACTCGAATGAGAAAATAAAACCGTTTGACAGTTTTTTTTCAGACTCCCCTGGTTCTTTGTGTGTGTGTGTGTCTCTCTCTTTTAAATTACCCAGCATGGGGATTTTCCCCCAGTTTTGTTATGTTGACCATGGCAGTTTTATGTAACCCCTGCCTTCATTAAAATGCAGATCTGGATCTGTGAGCTTCTCATTTGGGTTAAAATTTGCTAGGTTGTGCAGCGGACCTGAGGGGTTGTAGCTCAGAACTGAAGAGCACAGCTTATAGATGCTCATATTTAATAATAAACCCAAAGAACCCCGTGGAGATGTATCACAGTCTAAAATCCAGATATGGTGTTAAATTATTGCTTGCTGAAATGACGGCCGAGTGTGTGTCATATTGAGAGATATGGCAGTAATGTTTGAATGGTGGAAAAGGGGCACGTTAACCAATGGGGGGAGGCTCTGAATAGGCATTCAACAGAGCTATATGGGTTGTCTAGAAGCTAGAATTTCTACTATGTATTACTTGGGTGGTGGTTGCTAATTTTGTTGTCGTGCGGGGGGGGGGGGTTGCAAATCGACAAGCACATGAAGTAATTTTGTCCTGCAATCCCGTTGCTGCTCTAATTGTGTAAAGTAAGCAAGGATACGGTTGATTCCCGCAGTGTCCGGTAGATGGAGCTAAAGTTCATGATGAAATCATCGCTGTTAATGTGGGAGAACGAGAAACGTTTTTTTTTTTTCTGACGTGATACACTGCAGTTACAGATTACAGCTGAAAAGCATATTGTTACTGCTGTCGGAGCTGCCGTAATTATAAGAATCTGTGCTAACAATATAGCACTATTTAAATCTTCATTTTCCTTTGTTGATAAAGCTCTAGCCTTAACTTGACTTTCCAGTTAATTCAGATATAATTTTTGGAAATTTTACACTATTATCTTTTTACACTATTTATCTTTGGTCCAGAAACAAAATTAAATAACTGATGGTAAATGAGTCTAGTTGAAATGGAAAGACTGAATGTTGAAAAGTTACATGAAATATTTTGCTCTCAAATTGGTTGAAATCTGCTCTTATTTCAACTACAGTAAATATAGTTAACAAGGTAAATCTGCATAATTTGGATATGTAAATTCGGCAATGTGAAATGCTTCTTTACATGTCAGTATTCGGACTGTAGCATGAGAGCACTGAGGTCCCATAACCGCCATGATTCCGGGATGTTATGTCTTCTCTGAGATATCCCCCCACACCCTCATAAAAATGCTGGATTTTAAAGTTTAAATGTGCACCTGGTAAGAGGGGGAAGCGCCCTGGGGATTAACTCTCCGCCCTCAGGCTCCGGCTGGCCGGTCCGGCCTCAGGGTCTGGCTGGTTGGACTCGCTGTCTAACACAGTCCCTTTGGCAAGCGGGGTAGGCTTTGCTTTTTTCACAATTATATAACTTTATAAAAATATTCAGAACTGTGCACAAATGATATATTATTAGTCAGAAAGTGTTTAAAGCTATTTATCTGGGTGATAAATTTATATTTGTTTAGAACAAAAACATTAGAACATGTGCAAATTATGAGTAACACAATAAAAACTAACAGGAAATTCTTCTCCAAAAATTACTGATATCTTTTTGGACGGTCACCTGAACACCATTTCGGTTCCAAAACTTTCCTCAGGGGCCAGCTCGATTAATTAATTAATTGAATAAACTGAAAAGGTCAGTGAGGCATTGATTCATCATAAGAGGTGAGCTAGTGGTCGAGTGCAAAACAAACATGGATGTGTTAGATGGTTACAGCAAATACTGGGGCGACTTTAGGGGAGGCTGTGAAATGACTAAGCTGACACACTTTGACAGAGATAAAGTCATAGTTTTACACCAACATGAAGACCTTAAACATGGTTTCTTTGCCTGTCTAATTACAATAAGAAAATGATGCAAACTTTGATGTCTCCAATCCTGTGGATTATTATCGTTTGCCTTCATGTTTCCTTCAGCGGCTCCGTCCTCCCAGGTGTCCCTGCTGCTGCTGCCGTCTGTTCCTGTGGCTTCACCTGAAGATAGCAGCACATCGATCTGCCGGATACTTCGCACTGCTGAATGACATCCACAAATTCAGGCCATTACTCTGGGAGGGGGGGATTGTGCTCCTTGCGTGTCTCGGGAGGGGGTTGAGGCGACAAACGGGAGCCATACCCAACACTGTCAGAAAAAAAGTACCAATTTGTACCTTTGAGGGTGCAATTACTTGTCATTGAGGCTGTACCTGTAAGGTTCTGCGAGTTGGACTCTAGTTGTAGGTAAATATACCGTTTAAGTTACAGAAATGGACTCTGAAGTACATTTATGTACCACTGGGGGTACATTAATGTTGTTTGTACCTTGGGGTATAAAACTACCAAGGCTGTACCCATTTTTCTGACAGAATGCCTGAGTGGCTAATCAGGAGAATTCCCAGTGAGCTACCCTGACTGGAGGCTGGTGACGGGGGTATTGTAATTATCTTATAACGCTTAAGCTTAGACAGTGGTTCTCAAACTGTGTGGCATGCATTACTGGGGGGGGGGGGGGGTTAGGCATGATCCAGGCTGATTGTGGAACGAAAATTAATATTGTGCACAGAAAAATTTCCATGGGGTGTGACATTCCTGGGCTGAGTGTCAGTCCAGTCCATTGGCGGATGTCTGGCAGGAGGCTCAGAGGGAACAAAAACGTGGACTGGATTGGGAGACGCTGCTCTAGAGGGATCAAAAGCTCAAAGATACACCCACATTGTTTCAATTCATCCACATATTGAAGGAAGAAAAGGATGAAGGACAAACCTAAGGCTTTTCATGTAGGAGGGTAAGTTAATAAAAGAAGGATGTTTGTTCTGGTGGTATTTGCAGTGTCTTTATATAACGCCTAGGGTTACCTGCACCTGCGTGCGAAGCAGAGTTTGCAGTCATTCCTACGTATCCATACCGAGTAACACTCAGTTACCTCGTTTTGCCGACAGATTTCATCAGAAGCTGAGACCAGACCTCGTTCTCCAAAGCCACAGGCTCCAGCTCATTGTGGGAGACCCCAGACACCCTCAAACCTGCTGGAAGACTTAATCTCTCTAGCGTGTTCTGGGTCTCCAAGGACTCTGCCCAGTGGGAGGTATCTGGAACAGCATCCTTGGGATCCGATTGGGTAGCTTCGATACAGGATGCCCAGGCCACGTCAACTGACTCATCTCCAACTGGAAAGGACTTCAGGACTTCTAACTCAGTCAAGGAAAGTGAGCTCAGGCCCCCGATGGAGAAACCTCACGTCAGGCTGCCCGTTACCGTGACTTTCGTCTTTCGGTCATGACCATAGGTGAAGGGAGGGGTGTAGATCGACCGGTAGGTAGATCATGATCATCGCTCGATGACTCCCGTTTCAACACTTACATACCTCTGTCACTATGGGTGGACCAACTCCCCCATATGGAAGGAGCGATCCACTGTGCTGCAAAAGTGCTGGATGTCCTGGTCGAACCATCTGCAAAAAAAGTCAACAACAACAAGAACACCAATAATAATAATAACAACAACAATAATAATGAGAGTGAGCTGGCCATGAAGGGCAGCCACCTGTTGCAGCATTCATGGAGCTGGGGGTTCAGGACTTTGCTGAAGGACCCAAGATGTGCTGAAGCAAGGCTTGAACAGGTGACCTTCTGATAACAGGCACAGAGGCTCAGCCCACTGAGCAATATGCCGCCCCACTGGGGTTAATTGGAGTTACCAAATTGACAGTAGGTGTGCATGTGTGAGTGAATAGTGTGTGTGTGCCCAGTGATGTAATGACACAGTAGCCTTCCTTGGCCTTATGAACTTCCTTATGAAAGTCTCTGCCCCTCCTCTTTAGTTTTCAGTATTTATGTGACACCTATAATAATAGATAATTAATGCTGATAATTAATAATAATTAATGTCTCAAGGAGAGGCCACATGTCATAATGCAATCTTACGGTAGCAGAAATTTCATAATAAAGTTGTTTCTCTGCCGTGGAAGCAGCGTTATGTGTCAACCTGTACGAGAAGCGTAACTTTACACGATACCTCTTCCTCCCATCGGCGTACGCCAGACATAACCCTGGATCCAGTCCAAGGGCATTTATTGGGTAAGACTTCTTACCAGCAGCTGCAGGCAATTAGGACGGTCAGGATGACAAGTTTTAGTTTAATTCTGGGCCTGGCGGGTTAATAGATAGCACAGGTCACTACACCCGGATATTTCAGCAGGTTAATTTGCAGTACACTTTTTGCTTGCCAACTGAAATCAAATGTACAAATTATAAGATAGTCTGTGGTCATATTTATGTTTGTACACCATATACTTATTTTTCAACACCACACCCCAATGTACTGTTTGCATTTTTATATCTATAATGTTACTTATTTTCTCAACATATGGCAGTAGGTGGCAGAGTGGGTAAAGGCATAGACCCAGAGCCCAGAAGGGTTACTGGGGAGATCTGGAGACTATGCCAGGCAACAGTGGGTACTGGGGTACACCCTGGATGGGATGCCAGTCCGGCACAGGGCACATACCCACTGCAGGAGAACACCCAAATGATGGGGGGGGGGTAGCATGTAAACTCCACACACACAGACCTGAGATTCAAACCCCGAATGCTAGAGGTGTGTGACATCAGTGCCACTCACTGAGCTACCAATGTCCCTGGGTTTGGTTTCAACATTGGTAGGGACTAAATTAGCCCCAACCCCCCCGCCCCCTCACACACACACGGTACTCCCACAATATTGGTAGGGACATGTCCCTACTGTCCGTACCCAAATCCACGGCCTTAACAATACCCTACCACCCCTCAGACACTCTGCTGTGGTATAAGCTGGTAGCTCATCGTCATCGGCACAGCAAAGTCTGTCAGGTCAGTGTCGAGCTGTGAGTCTGCAAATCAAACAAATGACTCAAAGTTGACCGCATCACTGAATTAGAGCGGGTTTTATGTGCTGACTTACGGAGACAGGTGTTGTTAAACTAATGCCGACTTTTAAACTCAGTGTAAGTCACCACCTACGAGTGCTACTGGAAATGACTGCTATGGTACTTGGCTGCATCTAGGCCAACAGCAGCTGTTATGGGGTAAAATTGACGAGAGCATGACCACTTTCTGTTCACATAACTCTTTTTCCCCTGGGCTATAAGCCTCGAATGTATGCATTTATGACACTGAGATCGGTTGTGCTGCAGAACTTCCATGACTGCTTTGACCTAGAACTGACTGAGGTTGTTGGCTGTGTAATTAACTTTTAATGACGATATTGTTCTTTAAATAAATCCAGGCTCCATTGTGATTTTCTCTCTTCCATTCATCTGCACCGAATATCCCCTCAGCGATATTTCAGGAAGGCAATATTCTACACTGCATGAAATATACTAAAAAAAAAAACAAGACACCCACCACATGTATAAAAAAAATCCTCTATACTAAATAGGGTTTCAGGATCATTTGATGCAGTTTATTTTAAAATTTGACTTTGGCCTTATTGCTGCTGGGTGGATGAGGTCCTACAAATCATAAAAAAACCATTAAAGCAGCAGATTCTCGAGCTGTTTTAAAAAACAAACATCAGAAACACTCCACGTTATGTTTCACCAGTTTTCATTTGAATAACGCAACGTGTGGCCTTTTATTTTTAAATAGCTTTCTAAACATCAGGCTTCGGGCTTTATTCCTGGGAATATCGGGTATGAACGGCTGCACACAGCATTACGAAACGACATGAGACAAGGTTCATACCCATAGATTCCAGTAAACACACCTTCATTCCTGCAAATCTCTACCAATGACCTAAAAGCTAAACACAGAGGTATTTTGAAACTCATTATTAATGTGGCTGGTCTGATTACCGCCCATTGGCCTTCATGATAAATATGAGTAAATAATAACATAAGAGGTCCCAAACAAAGGACAGTGGTCTAGATATGACCTGAGCTGGGCCACACCTCCCTGGGTTCTGCCATACAATGCCTCGCAACGACCTTCTCGCGACTCAAACCATGCAGTTTTGGGGAAGGGTCCCTGCATTAAATAATAAACAACTGTGTTCCTTATTTCGGAGTTGCTGAAGAGGAATGTTCTGCTAACTAGCTAGCTAGCTTTGATATTCTGACTTTCTAGGTACGGTCAAAGCATGACGCGATCATATCCCCAAAGTCACTTTTCGAATCAGTCCCAGGAACAACAAACCCCACCCCCCCTGCTAGGAGGCTACACAGCTTCTTTATAAAGAAGACGGTCTGTACTGTCACCACACCTGGGCTCAAATCCCACTTCTGACAATAGTATGACGCTTTCACCCAGAAGCAGGTGTGGTCACCAATTCAGGGGGCAGCAGTCCAGCCACATCAGCGACCCGCCAACCAGGCTCTGGCTATTGCTGCCACATTTCAATTTAAAAAAATCCAATTTTGTTGTCAACAGACCATCCGGAATGCTGGCACAAACCTCTCGGAAAAAGAGCTCTTTCTCAACAAACAGTAACACTCCAACTGACGTGTTTTCATTCTCCTACAACCAAATATTTAATTAAAAGACAAGGCCATCGGCCCATGCACTCATTCTTAAAGGAAACCACGGCATTAGTGCCGCATGAATTACATTGTTAACGTTGTATTTAATGGCTATTTTCGTCTCAATTGCTGCGGTTTAATGCTTTGTGTGGCTCAGAGGGGTGAGTCTTCTTCCACTCCGTGACGTGGGGCTTTAATCCGGCCGGACCGCCGCAGTACTACCGCGGAGCGGAGAGCTCTGCCTCGGCGCCGTCTGCTCAAGCCCCCCCCCCCTGCCGGTTTGCTGGATCACACGCTTAAGGTACCCGGTTAACGCCGCCTTAAGCGCCGCGGGGGAGCCGCGTTTCCATGCTTGCGAGGCGTCGCTCTTCTCCGGGATAAGGTATGCATGCACTCGAAGCGACGGCTCATTGAATTCGTGTTAAAGCGAAAGTCCCTCCCGCTGCAGACCGGGGCTGAACCGGGACAGACTACCGGGGCCACGCCGGCCTGCGTCTCTAGCTGACAGAAAGGGATCGGATCCCGGGGAGCGTGTAAGGCGGAGCGAAACGGGGCGAGGGGCTGCATCGACCGCAGCTCTGTCTCGGTCTCGGCGCACCGTAAAGAAGGTGTGATGAAGCCCATGCAGATTGACGGGTAGGTTTTCGGAGCTGCGGTAATAGGCAGGCTGCACGGCCGCTTTGTGCAGCCTCTTACGGTGGGTTCGGACGCCCAACCGCCCGCCGCGGCGGCTCCTCTCATCCGCCGTTTGATGTGAATGAAATGATGCAAGTTACTGTGTTAATGGTGTCGAGGGACGGACTCTTCCCGATAATTAGGAGGCTTTTAGTTATTCATTCATGTATCAGGCATTTCCGAAATGCGGGATATTTTTTTATTATGGCGATCGGAGGGGCTGTGCGGTGCGGTGCGGGTCTGGGGGGGTGGTTTAATAACAGGCGAGCCTCGTTGCGTTTGGATAAACGGTTTAACAGCTTGTACCTGCACGGAGCGCACCTGCCCCGCTGTCTGTGGGAAAATATAATCAAAAGCATGTGTCTATCCGACATCTTGGCGTGTTATATTTTTATGTAGGATAACGGCTGCTCCCCGGTCACGTACAGCACCATCGGACTTATTTATAGGCGAAACTGGCCGGACCGTGATATTTATATATCTTATTTAAGCGTAGATTGCCTAGTATGGTAGGTGATTGTTACGATAAAATTGTGCATATTTTTCTCGACATCTTTAAATGTTTTGTCATTTTGGCCCAAAATCCAGGGTTGGTTTGTCTAAATGCACCTGCTTATAATATTACACCTGATGTGGCCGCCGAATAAACGGGAGTGAATCTGGCGTCTCCGGCTTGAAGGGATGTATTTTGGGACAGACATTATACACATCATTCGCCTCCCTGGAGAACCGGGAAAAAAAGTTATTGAACTTGTACAAAATTATATAAATTGCGCTCCGGGTCATTCTCTTTGATAATTCTTTACCGCAGTGCCTGCTTGAGATTTCTTAAAAAAATAAATTTGGTTTCTAGTGTTTTGCTAACAATATTAACGTCATGCTAGTGAAACAAGGTACATCTAACATGTATGGAAAAATATCTCTAGCATGTCGGATTACCAAGGTAATCTTTTGCTTTTGTATTATCTTAAACCTTCAATAAATAATGCTGCAGAAGCTGCATAAAATTAGGTTGTGGCTCAGAGATGCCTAATATCTAATCACCCGTAGAGGTGAGCTTGATGTTTGCTTTTCGTTTCAGGGGGAATTGGAAGCTTTGATTTAGTTTTTATTTTTTATTTTATCTCGACTTTGACCCCCCTCCATGTGCTACTGCAGAAATGCACCTACCTCACGATAAGAGGCCAAAGGACCTGCCGCCTTAGCAACGGACGCTCTTCGGCCCCATTACCCCTCCATCTCCGTGCCAACACCGGGCGTTATTCTATGGCATAAACTCAAGCCTCTTAGTAGATGGCGTTTTAGGACTAGCCAGCGCTGTTAATGCACCGAGCGTAACGTCTCCGTAGAAGGCCTCTGTGCAAAGGTGTGACTGCTTACCGTTTTATTCACTGGGTTTGTAGTGTGATTTATATATATAAAAAAAGAAAAGTTCCTCTCTGCTATGTAGTCTGTGTATTTTCTTACCTCTGAAATATTTGTGTTGGCTGTCTATGGTGATATTTAAATCATCTCCATCCATTGTTGCTGGATTTGCCTACTTCATATTTTGTGATCTTTTTTTATGTGTTTTTATTTTTTTACCTTCTTTTTATGCAATAATTAATTGAAGGCTATTGGATAATTGCTGTTAGAGTACTTTAATAAGCTATATATTTGAAGTATTAAGAGAAACGTTTTCTTAGTGTGTATTTCGACTGATAAAACCCACAAGCAGTGTCAGCTCAAGTGAAAATCCTCTGAGCATCTTTTGAGCGCATCTGATAACCCTAATCCAGGTGTTGGCCAGGCTCCAGTGAATGCTTTCATATATGAGGTGGCTTCGGTCTTACAGCCTTGGGGACGATCACTTCTACGTCCTGAACCCGCTGATGACCTGTCAGTGATTCGGGCCAGCAGCGGGAATGACAGGATAAGAGTCACTGTCACAGGGATCTCCGGGAACTTCATTAGAAAAAAATCTATTCCTGAGTTATTCAAAATGCGGTGCTTGGTCGTTAATGTGGTGTCAAACTGGATAGGATTCGCTGGCAAATTTAGAGCTGGCCTTAGCGTAGTCTGAAAATGTACACGTTCAGACATGTTTCACTGGGCTATACAAGATAGGCGTTATTAACGGTAGTGGGACAGTGTTTTTTTTTTTTTTGGTATAATTGTTTGCACATTATTCATGTCTATAGTGCTTGAGAGAGAGATCTTTTTCCATTTGATTATATGTAAAAGCCGGACTATATTAAATCTGTGCTTTGTGATTTGGTTTTTAAATATTCCGCTGGGGCTTCTCTGTCTGTTCTGAATGGGTTTGGAGAAATAGAGAGAAAAGCCGGAATATTTCCGAGTTAATTCACAGACTTAACAGTCATTGTAGGTAGTGATTCACTGCACCCAGTGCCCAGAGCCTCTCGATTAAAACTGAAAATCTGCTTGGAGCGCAGTGGCAGGAAGCCTTGCCCACGCTTCGCCTCACTGTAATGATTTTCCTGGGCAGCTGTAACTAATTCAAGTAACCACTTTAGCGACGGACGGAAAACCGTGAAATAAGCCGAGCCGTTGTCAAAACACAGCCTCCCCTCGTGCAAATTGAATCCCGTCTCTGAGGGGAACCGGGGGGGGGGGTGTCCTCCCGTCCCCTGTGCCTTTCTGCAGGTGACATTGAGTTTCATGGTCTCCTGCCTGGCCGCGGTGACCCTTCTGGTTTACCGTTCAGCCATTTTCTGCGTCTCTGTGATTAAAGCTGCGTTTGAGGCCCTTAACAGTCTGATTACGGGTAGATTTATTTCAAGGAGTAGCGACGGTGTCCGCTTGTAACCCGGAAAGGTGACCCGTAAGTGGGACCAGTTTGTCGGGACATTGGACCTGAGTATGGTTCTGCATTGACCCCAGGGGTGTAGATTTGGATATGGACTGTAGGGACGTGTCCCAGCAATATTATGGGAGTATATGTTTAGGGTGGGGGGTCAGAGCTGATTTGGTCCCTACCAATGTTGAAACCAAACCTATGCCCTTGATTGACCTGCATCCTCTTGTATGTTAGTTATGAGCATCAGCTCATTATGGGATGTCTTTTCATTATGCTGTAATTTGACGCCATGGTCTCTTGCAAACAGACTGCCTGTTATGCCTGAGAGATCTCGAGAGTAAATCTGCTGGGATCTACCAATCTGGAGCCCCGCTGGCTGTTTACCACAGTGATTGATCAGGATCCTCGGCTTCTCTCTCTGCCAGCTTGCGCCAGCGGAATGGTACTGCCGCTCCAGTAGGTTTCCAGGCCACGCCTTGGCACGGCTCCCCATGTGCTCAGTGCTAATTTGTGGCAGCTCGAGCTCCTTGTTCCGCTCGTTTTCCGATCAGTGTGAGAGAGTGGCTGTGGTGGATCTGTCGGATGTTTAGGGAGGAGCTTAGGTGATGGGGTGCAGATGTATTTACCTGATCAGGTGACCAGTGGCGAAGCCTTTATTGCGATTTCATGAGCTGTAGCCATTTTAATATCTTGCTATTTTTGGATTGTCATACATTTCTGGGTATTGAAATACAGCTGATATTTTACGTCTGTCTTTGTTTTCTTATGTTCCTTATGTTGTTCTTGTGTTGATTCCCCATTGCAGTGCTGTTCGAACCCTACCGCCATGGGCTCCCGGCCGTTAGGCGACGCACTGGAGTGAGCTGAGCTTTTTCTGTGGCACTGATACCCTCTCCTCATCCGGAGTCCCACCGCCCTCCCCCCCTCCCCCGGACGGGGCGAGAGCAGCCATGGCGGGCTTCAAGCGCGGCTATGATGGAAAAATCGCCGGGCTGTACGACCTGGACAAGACGTTGGGGCGCGGGCACTTTGCGGTGGTCAAGCTGGCACGCCACGTCTTCACGGGGGAGAAGGTGGCGGTTAAGGTCATCGATAAGACCAAGCTGGACTCGGTCGCTACGGGCCACCTCTTCCAGGAGGTGCGCTGCATGAAGCTGGTGCAGCACCCCAACATCGTGCGCCTCTACGAGGTCATCGACACGCAAACAAAGCTGTACCTTATCCTGGAGCTGGGTGACGGCGGCGACATGTTCGACTACATCATGAAGCACGAGGAGGGCCTCAGTGAGGAGCTGGCTAAGAGGTACTTTGCCCAGATCGTGCACGCCATCTCCTACTGTCACCGGCTTCACGTGGTGCACCGCGACCTCAAACCCGAGAACGTGGTGTTCTTCGAGAAGCAGGGCCTGGTCAAGCTCACCGACTTTGGCTTCAGCAACAAGTTCCAGCCCGGAAAGAAGCTGACCACCAGCTGTGGCTCCCTGGCCTACTCGGCCCCGGAGATCCTGCTGGGGGACGAGTACGACGCTCCGGCTGTGGGTAAGCGAGGCACTCGCGCTCCATCTGCCTGGCTGGGACGGGGCCAGGTGACGTAGCCGGACACTTGTGCAGCAGGTCCTGTGTTTACCGGCCTGACGTGGGGGGGTGTGTATGACCCAGCCGTATGGCCTCATTTGCACGCGAAAATCCATTTTACCGGCACAAGTGATATTACTGTGTGCAAAACTGCTCAGCTTTAATAATTGCAATAATATAATGTGTGATGTGCATTTGCTTGCTGTTTGGCTAATCTTGTGTGTACAGATGCTATAGCGAGTGCGGTACCAGGAAATTACAATGTTTCGCTCCTAGTCCTCCCATGTTGACCTTTATCTGGCGAATAACTGAAATAAAAATTAAAAAGCTTCCTAGCCTGTGATGCTCACACAGCGTTAACATGTAGCTAGCCTGTGTGCTAATATCCATCGGGGTGCAGACCCAGCTTGTGATGCTCACACGGCGCTATCATGTAGCTAGCCTGTGTGCTAATATCCATCGGGGTGCAGACCCAGCCTGTGATGCTCACACGGCGCTATCATGTAGTTAGCCTGTGTGCTAACCTTGGGAGTGCCTCCTCCTCCTCACATCTTGTCACGTTACCAAAAAAAAAAAATTGCTTCATACCAGGAGCTCTGGACCCATTTTCTTGAATATTTTTCTGCAGTGCTGATTCATTTCATGTGAGTATTGGCGGTGAAGCCAAAGCGGGGGACGGGTGGACAAAGCAGAATAATGTATGAAGGTGTTCATACGACGTGGTTGTCATCAGCTCCTAACTGTGGCTGGTCGGGGGGGGGGAGCTGGGGGTCGTAATCCAACCCACACGCTGACCATTCCATACCTGCTGAATTGACCCCCAGCTCTGGTACCCGGTTCCGTAAAAGCATGTCCCTGATGTGAGCACCATTAGTGTGACACTGTGTGGGGGCCTGCTCCGCCCCCCCATGCCCCACCCTCCCATGCCCCGCCTCGTGTGTTTCTGGAATCCCTGGAGTCTCAAAGGAGTTTGTGTGTAGTATGGGTGTCTAGGTGAGGCAGATGCATTAGATCAGAGCTACTCTAATATTTGGATACTGCTCTGTCTTCACCACTGGGACTTGGCTGAATAAATACTTACCCTGGTAATAAGGGTGATGTCTGAACACTTTGCACCTTGTGAGAACATCAGTCGGCAGCCTTCTGCTAGGTCTTCGTGGGGGGGTGGGATCTGTGCCACAACGGCACAGGGAGGCACTTTGTGGTTCTATTAAACCATAATTACCCCCCCCGCCCCCTTCTGGCAGATGTTCATGAACCCTGGAAGTGACCATTTAGGGGTGGTGTTAAAATATCCAAAATCTCTGTTGTTAAGCAACCAAATTTTGGTGTCTCTTACAGTGGGACCCTGACGGCACTGTGAGGGTCTGTAAGCGATTGTCTGTGTGAGTGATTGTGCCTGATGGACACGCTCTCAGGTGAAACGCCCAGTGTGGGTCATAAAATCACCCAACAGGGGATTCAGGCCTGGGGAGGTCTTTTGGAATCCCCTATTATTCACGATCGCCCTTTAACCGCTGTGTGTTCTGAGTGATAGCGTGTGCGGATGGCACGCTCTCTCACACACCTGGCGGTGAGAATGCCACGACGGAATGCCAGGAGCTCCCGTGGAGCCGCGGAGCGTGCCGGCTCTCGTCAGAGTCCCGTCACAGGTGGCCGTCTCATGGCATCGCGGTTGCCGTTAGCTTAGCTACTGTTAGCATCCTAACATTGCTGATAAAGGTAGTGCTCACCGCGGATACTTCATAATAAGACGATTTAGTGGACGCGTCAATAAGACGCTGTACATGTTATTCAAACAGATGGCTGCTTACATAACATTCTTTCAGCCTTAATGAGATTAAATTACTGCACTATGTCCCGTGACGTGTAAATAAACCAATGCTCTTGGGAGCCTGTCTAGGAGTTTCTAGTGCCCCGACTCACAGGGACGTAAACAAACAAAATGGCTACCCGTTATTCTTAACGCTGTGCTGGTTTTCGTAGAGAACTCTTTTGGGCCTTAATAAATAGTTCTTTCGTCTGACATTTCCGACCTGATTTCTGCCCAAATCACACGCCCCATTTAATCACAGACAATCGTAGCATTGGTTCAGGTTTGGTTTCTGCTGGGCAAAGCCGTCCCTCCCGATATTATGCAGGGTCACTCTCCGCAGTGCCTGTGACCGTTATGCTAACAGCAGGGTAATTTTGCTTCAGCCGGGTGAAGCAGTGAACTGTGGAACCGCGCTTGTCCTGCCCTCTGCCTGCCACAGACAGGGGAAATTCTTGTAGGTTTTAGATGAGCTTTGGTACAGCTTCAGAAGGCCTTTCCTTCTATAAATAAACCACACCTTGGACTTCTCAAAGGCTATGGGGCAAAGCTTGGCCAGCCCACAGCGGGGTTGGTTCTGTGCATGACTCATGAACGAGGAAGTTCCTGAAAGATGGTTGAAATTTTTTTTGGTGGCTAAAACATAGATCTAGAATAGATCTAGACCAACACGTTGATGTCGAGCTCTCCATGTAGTTCTCCTTACCAAGCCTGCGTTTCATTTACCCCCCTGCTGTGGTCTCTGTACTTCAGCACTAGCTACACTAACTATTTTATCAACGTTTTCAGAAGCTGGAGGCTGCCTCCCCTTAAAAGGTATCGTAGTTTCAGAAGGCTCATTGCATTTTGAGTTTCGAATCCATCACAGGTTTAGCTCTCTGTCTGAAGAATTTCACAGCCCCTGCAGTGATAATTACAAATGTGTACTTGTGGCAACTTGTGTTTTCACTATAGCAGACATGGTTACACCTCTTGGTTGCTATGGAGATTGTCACCTTTTTCCAGTTTGTTGGTGACAGGCTGCTGTGTTCAGCGATCAGAGGTGTGGCGTGCATGAGCAGATACCTGAATATCCCTAAAAATATGTGGGTTAGGGATCTGCGCCTGTATCCAGGAGGTTGTGGGTTCGAATCCCATGGCCGGATGAGTAGCCGTATCACAGTTAGGCCCTTTAGCAAGGCTCTTAACCCCAGCTGCCCCAGGGATGCTGCCATGGGAGCGCTTTGCTCTGGGACGGTACATCTGCCAGCAGTGCCTGTAGCTGGTTATCCCCTCTGCTGTTTGGATCTTGTGGTCGGCTGCAGGAGCCCAAGCTCTGCCAACAGCCCCCTTTGCAGCCGAGGAGCGCACACCAAATTTGTTTGTGGTTCTCATTTGCTTTTGACTTTGACGGAGCGCTTGCTGTGATGTTGCCTAGCAACCACCCCTTTTTCCTAATTACCCCCAAATCACCAGGAGTGTATGCCCCCGGGGAATGGGTGGGGGTGAGGATAGTACACATCCTTCCTGTCCCTGTTTATTTGCACAGTGATGTGCATGGGGGGGGGGTCCTAGGGTGTCCCCCCTCCCCCCCCCCCCAAACTGTTGTGGAAGGAGCGAAGAGGCAACTTTTTATTATTGGATGCCTCTATGGCCGCAGAATGTTTGAAGACCTTTGGGCTGGTTGCTAAGATACGTTTCAGTTGTGCTTGAAAACCTGCATTTAAGCGACAGCGTTGAGGCGGAGAGGAACTCGAAAGCGATCGTTGTGACGCGGATGCAGTAAACAGCCCCGCTAATCTTTTCAAGGCGGTGTCGGGGAGGAAATGGAGGGAGCAAGCGAGCAATTTTGTCTTGACATCTCCTGCTACATGAAAGGGTAGCAGTAATTTGCCTGATGGTAACAATTTCCCTTGGTTCCGCGTGCTTGGGGAGGCTGTTATTCAGAGGATGTGATTTTTATATATAACCTTGTTTTTTTATATTATTTATGAGCCAGGGTTTGACACTTTTTTTTTTTTTTTTTGTCAGTGTGTGTGTGTGTTTTGCCTTTAAGACAAGGTGACTTGATGCTGTAAGAACAGATTCCTGACAGTTGTCAGCCTGAGATGAAATGATGATGTATGACTCTTTGGTAATGGTGAATTTTGCAGGGTTCATCTCTGGGAGATGTGTGGTTTACAGGCACTTTCTCCTGGGAAGCTGGATGCTAATGGGATGCTGTTCGATCTACAGTGACTTACTAATTTCTGGTTATTTAACAGTTGGTCTGGTTTGGAGCTCTGCGCATCTGGGTATTTACCAGAGCCGGTTGGGTTTGGAGCCTTGCACATCTGGGTATTTTACCAGAGTTTGTTGGGTTTGGAGCCCTGCTCATCTGGGTATTTACCAGAGCCGGTTGTGTTTGGAGCCCTGCACATCTGGGTATTTTACCAGAGTTTGTTGGGTTTGGAGCCCTGCTCATCTGGGTATTTACCAGAGCTGGTTGTGTTTGGAGCCCTGCACATCTGGGTATTTTACCAGAGTTTGTTGGGTTTGGAGCCCTGCACATCTGGGTATTTACCAGAGCTGGTTGGGTTTGGAGCCCTTCTTAGCTGGATATTTTTCAAAGCTGTTTGGGTTTGGAGCCTTGTTTGGAGACCCCAGGGTGCAGCCTGGGATGTATCGGCCAACAGCGGAGCCCTTAACTGCCTTTCTTAAACGTTCTTTGATGTAACCTTGCAGAGTAATGGGTCAAACTGACAGAAACTGCCCAGGTCCCTGATCTTTCAAAGCCACCCCCCAAAGCCTGTGCAGATGTCATTACTCACGAACGTGGCTGTGCGAGCTGCTCTGTTCCTGTCTTTGGGGACAGATGGGCGGGCAGGCAGTGAGATGCAGGCTTCAGTAGTGCGACAGAGCAGCCCAGACGTTAAGCTGATGCTGCTGCGTGGGACACAGAGCCGATGAGTAACGGAGCAGAAGAATTGGCACCGTGTGATTTTTAAATAGTTTGAATCTTTCATGGATGAAACTCCCAATCCCCCCCCCCCCCCCCCCCCCCCCCCCCGCCCCCCCCCGCCACACGGCGCGCGCGGGGGGGGGGGGGGGGGGCGGGGGGGGGGGGGGGGGGGGGGGGTCCTAGGGTGTCCCCCCCCCCCCAAACTGTTGTGGAAGGAGCG